TCGATAGTGTAAACGTTCCATCATCCAAATGAGAAAAAGTTCGAAAAAGGACTGTGTTTTACTTTAAGCGCGAGCCGACGGCTACTCAAACATAGAGGCGAAGAACAGACATCAGCATCTATGCGTATCTGTTTCTATGAAAGCAGACCTAAGAATCCCATAAGAACATGGATCACAAACACTAAGAACCCCCCGACCTGCACTAATACCCCTCACGAGCACATAAAAGATACTATGCGGCGTGAAATAATAAAAGCCAAAACCCACAAACCTGTTAACTTTGGCTTCAAACCTGGCAAATCATATTTAAAATTGGTCAAATCTTGACATTGAGAAATATATCGATCCATAACAATCTCTTCGGCAATTTGAAATTCAGCTTACGAGGGCAAGTTGAAATACCTCCTGTCATTGAACGTACAGCTTACGCATTCACGTCCGCAGAAGCCTAGGCGCATTTCCCGTATCTTCCACAAAAAATTATTTAGCTGAAGCTGGCTTTCCAACCAACCCGGGACGTGTCCAAGAGACAACTTATCAGTTTATGCCAAGACTTATACTCAGCAACAATGATACTCTCTTCAAAGACTTATCAAATGTGAACATGAACGTCAGTATAAAACCCTACCGTTAAAAACGCAGCTCCGACCTTCCATGGATGCTCAAGTTATGAGAGACTAATGAAACAACAACGGCTGCAATGGTCCATCATCCATTGAATACATTCCTAACCACTTAACCTCAAACTAAAAGACTTCCGCGCCAAAGCATGTCAACAATCAACATCTACCGATCTCTTAAAAGAACCTACTCAACTGAACATTACATTCTTTGAAACATTTATGGAAGCCTGTAATTTTACTAATTTAATCTAGTTCATTAATGGACAGAGCCGAAAGCCCTGGTACCTCGTGCTCTTCTTTATCTTAATTATAAGAATTTATATTTTATTTTAAATTATAATAAAGAAAAAAATTACTTTGGATTGAGAAGGGAATCCAAAAGTAAAGTCTTCTCTCGACGAGCAAATTTCCAACTCAACATTCCCAACCGACTGCATGAAGCAGCGGCTTGAACGATGTCCTTTTTCATTGTAAAGATTTTGGAAGCATCAAAAATATCATGGAAAAATTTGCTTATTGGGATTTGTTGCCCTCTATTACTTAGTCTCAAATTTGGTTTTGTGTTTTTCTCTGCACATGCTATAAATCGCCGTTGGGCTGCACAACAACAACAACAATAATAATAATAAGAAATAAAACTAGAAATCAAATAAGGAGCAAGAGATGAAATAAATGAGTAAATGTTTATGAAAAATCGGTTATGATAAACTACAAGTCACGGCTATAAGATTGAAACATCATCGCACGACGCATACACATGCCCACATATATACAAACATATGTACATATGTATATAAATCATTTAGTAATTGTGCGCCTTGATAGAGCCGCCAATAATTACAATAATAGAAAAATTTCTAATTGAGTGATGAGGCTTTAGCTGCTTTGAAATATGAAAACAATGTGCGGAAGGTCTTAATACGGGAAGTACCCGACATTATTTAGCCTACACATTCAGTTGTAAGGACAAAAGTTCTGATTTTGAACCTCTGTCAAAGGAGGTTTCAGGCCTTTCAAAACCTATGATAGTAAATGGATCAAATGACTTTGGTTGCGATAGTTCGAAACGCTGCAGTAAGAGCAACGCACAGGTTCATGCTCTGCTATGCTCACTCCTTTGATTGGTCCGTAACCATTTTCTTCACGTTCTCTACATTTTCATCTTGCTGTGTTAGGTATCCTTATGTCACTGTCAATATCTCAACTTGAGCACTATATTGTATTACATAACAGATCGGTATGACTGTCCACAATATCATGGGAGCTAGCATGCTAATGACCTCATTGTTTGTTTGATAATGGGAAATATTTCGCCTTCGTCTTTGTCATACATGCTTAAACTGGCTTTTACTAGGGAAGCTGACTAAAGAAGGTTGAACGAGATCACGTGTAACGTGACCAAAACGCTTTGGCCGAGGTTGGACGCTTTTAGACCGAGTCTCCATTAGCATAACAAATAGCATAATAACTCATCGAATATTGGAAATCTCGTTGCCTTTATACGACACACGAAATGGTTCGATCATCTGAGAAGGTGAAGGCAGGAGCCTCAGCGATATCACATTAGGCCTATTGGCCTAAGTGTGTTTGAGTTTGACCAACAGCCGCATCAACTCTGCTTAACTCTACTCTTTGTCACTGCCAGACCCATACGCTTCGCTGGTCCAGTCTTGGAAAAGCTGGCCATATGACATGGTTATTGAGACCAATAGCATCAAAACTATCTTCATATGCCAGCAGTTATACGCTCTTATAGAAGATTGCTCCCTTTTAGTGAACTACCAATTTTGGTAATTGGCATTGGCAGATTTTTTCTTCTTCTGGCGGCCAATTGCCACTCGAACTCGATTATAGTCGGGTGATAGAAGACCTATACTAGTGTCGTCATCGATTACGGTTTTGGGCTCGTCATCTCCAGATGTATCATTTTCAATGTAATTCAAGTGTCAAAGTATTATCTTCGGCCCATAGTTTACTTCTTCGGTTCACACCCAAGATTTTCTAGACTTCTTCATTTGAGTGACAATAGCCGAGTCGTTTTTAATGCGTTCTGCTGCTCTTAAGCCCATGGCTCGAGTTCATGTTTGACTACTGTTGTCCAAAAATAAAAGAAAATTAATTTAAATAAAAAATTAAATTTTTTTTCTAATTAAGGTCGGGAGGGAATGTGCGCCATGTATAACTAATGTAGAAAAAAGCTCCTCATAAAAATCCATCAGCCGTTCGGAGGTGGCTTAGCATTAACTGCAAGTTCATCCATTTGTTGGAAAAACTTTCTGACCTACGCTACAAGTCGGCGAAGGAGCTTGGATATTTAGGTAAAGTAACATGCCAACCATTAATTTTTCATTTCTGGGCAATTGCTTATTCCAGACGGTGCAACCGCTGATAGTACCGATCAGAGTTAAGAGTTTTTGTCAATCTGTCGAAGATCTCTTGTCAGTAAAGAAAGTTGTATATCCATTTCGAGCAAATCGAACTGGGTTTCAGGTCAAGGAAACAAAAGTATTGCATTTCGGCACATCATTGAAATATTTAACCGAAAGGAATCATGTCTACTTATTATTAAAAATAAAAGATTCGCTCCCTTAAAAAAATTCCAATGGAAATGTACTAAATATTCATATTATATTTCCGAAAAAAAACCATCGATGTCCCAGATTTAATGTACATCGAACCATAAATATGATTTTTTTGTATAAACCAGCTCCAGGTCGACTTGCCGAAACAGTTTCAATGGTGGAGCTCAATTCAGTCGGCATGTAACCTTTGAAGATTACCAGATCTGTGCAAACGAACATAAGATTTTTACATACAAATGTCTGGATCTGAGGAATACGTTGGCTGCGGCATCATTAGTGTTTGTGTGTAGGTTTTTTTATATTTAAATTCGTGCACATACAACCCTTACCTAGACAAGTCTATTATACCCTAAATTAGTTTATAGTTTGGTATAAAAATTATGCCAAAAATATCACTAGACTCTTATAGCAGTTTGTGGTGTTTCTAAGCTAAAAAAAAGAGAAAAACAACATTGTGAATTATTTTTTTTATTTTCTATAATTATTTATTTATTTATTAAACGATTTGTTTACTCTTATAAATTGCAAAAATCAAATTTCGTTTATTTATTTACCTATACATATACAGACGTACGTACTTTTTCTCATATTTTCTTTATATTTAAGTTTATTTGTATTATGTGTGTGTACTATTTCTAAACATTTCATTTTAATTATATACTTTTTTGTTACATTTATTATAAATATTTACAAATGAATTTTAAAATTACATAAATATTGAACGTCTGTGCTCGGACTAATCAATTTTAATTTTTGCAAGACTTTTCAGAAAATATTGAGGTTGGGATTGCTAATTTTCGCAGTAGATTATAAAAGTGATGAGTTTTCAAGATATTTAAATGAAAACATAAAAAAAATTTAATTAAAATTCGGAATTCAATCAAGTTAATTTAAAAATAATAAAATAAAATTGAGAGAAAAATTTTTAATAATAATATTAAATAAAATAATAAATAAATATAATACCATTGAAATTTTTTTTAAAGAAATAAAGTGATAACAATAAAATTTTCTGAAAAGAAATCCATTTTTGCTTAAGTGAGAATTTAGTAAAAAAAAAATTTTAGGAAAATTAGTAATGAAAATTAAATTTTCTGAAAAAATCCACTTTTGCTTAAGTGAGAATTTAGTAAAAAAAAAAAAATTTAAGGAAAATTAGTAATAAAAATTAAATTTTCTGAAAAAATCCACTTTTGCTGAAGTGAGAATTTAGTAAAAAAAATTTTGAAAAAAAAATTTGTGATAAAAATAAAATTTTTCTTAAAAATTCCATTTATTTGAGGTTAGAATTTAGTATTAAAAAAATTTCCTGAGCGAATTCATAAAAAATCGCAATTTGTTTCTCTGATTTCGCAGAGAATAGTCAATGATATTTTTCGTGTGAAGTCCGAACACTGTTAATTTACAATTTTTTGCTAACAATTTTTTCAATTTTTTTTGTGCTTAAAAATGAAAAATACTCATCGAACCCTTTGAAGTTTTCCTTTTGCAAAATTTTGATATCGAAAAAAAAACCTTTTTACACATTTATTTTAATTTTTCTGTTCTTCTTTTTCTAGCTAAATCAAGGGAACTTAATATATAATATTAATAATAGTAATAATAATTAGTGAGTTTAAGTAGTATTAACAAAATGTATTACAAAAACAACTATATATATTTAATATTTATATTATATACTGATTCTACTACTCATGTGAGTGTTTACACATCTTCTATACCTATATATTATATTTATATGACCAACAATAATATTTTTACAATTTTTTTTTTTTCATTTTTTAAACTAATTTTCTTTTTCACACAAAGGCTCGATAGTTAGCCACAAGCCCATGCTCACAGCTTTATCACTATTGACTTATGTTGATAACTTCCCCACAAACGTACAAACGTACAAACGCACAAGCGCAACAAACAACTCCAACTCAGACCCAGATTCAGTAGAACGCAGCTTCAGTTACCTTTTCACTTAAAAATCCCGCTTCTAGTCTACAGACTGCTAATGCGAACGCACTTCCGCCGCACTTCTCACAACGCCTCCTCTGCCACCGCTTAAGAGCTCACCTCAATCGTATCGTTGCCCTTCGCCAACGTAACCGTCGTCATTGGCTCCTTCTTCACCGCCACACTTTCTTCGACATTTCCATTCACTGTCATAGGTTCCGCCGAGGATGAACGCGATACGGATAGCTCTACATCAGCATCACTGCCCGCATAGTCTGTATCGGTATTTTCAGCGCCACCAATACTTGTCGGCGTATACTGTTCCTCACTATACGTACCCTGTCCCATAAATGAGCGTATCTCATCGAGGTAATTGTCCTCACGATCAGCCTCATTGGACGATGGTGAATCACCGTAGCCGATGCCCAAACCATTTGCGTCGGCATCATGTTTCTTTAGATGTCTGTCGAGGTTCGTTTGTTGGCCGAATGAACGATCGCAAAGATGACAGCGAAACGGTCGCTCTTTGTGGTGTATGTTACGCACATGTCGTTGGAGATTTGATGAAATGCTAAATGCACGATCGCAATACTTACACGTGTAGGGCTGTTCACCGGTGTGTGTACGCACATGGCGTGTCAAATTGGCCGAACGTGGAAACACTTTGCCACAGTACTTGCATGTGTAGCGATCTTTGATTTTACCCGAGGCCGTCGCTAACATGCTGCCAATAAGGCCGGCGGGTATTAGAGATTTGCGAAATATCGGCTCGGGCGGAAACGGCATGTCAGAGCGTTCGGGTGCTCTATTAAAGGCTGGCCGTCCGCCCATTGGCCCTAAAAAAGGAAACGGACGTGGGAATATATCGCTTAGGGTACGCGAACGATGGTAAATCTCGTCCATGAACAGTGGATGTGGATTTAACGGTTGCAAGCAATCGAATTCGGCTGAGGCGGCTGAGTTGTTATCGTTCGCGTTTAAATTGACTCGTTCTTTGCTTGGTGGCGAAGGTGAGGGTGTCGGCCCAGGCGAGGCGGTAATCGAGGGTGTACGATTGTGCTTGGTGAAGCGACGTGTTGGTGTATTGTGTGTTGGGCGCTTGAGAAGCTTCGGGTGATGCGCACGTATTAGTATATCAGGTTCCTGCTGTTGCTGTTGATGTTGCTGTTGCTCCGAATCAGACTTTGGTTCGCTTTGTGTTGCTTGGTTGTGCGAGCCATCGCTGTGCACAGACTGTGTGTCCGCTGTTGAGCTGCAGCTTGCAGTGCGCGCGCGCTTGCGGCTAATACTCAAATCGAGCGGTAGTTCAGCGGCGCTATTTGCTGGTTTGCTATTTTCTTCGTCCGACGCGTCCGCAGGCGGTGGTGTACTAATAACATCAATGGATTTCTGTTAAGGAGAGAGAAACGAAAAATGAGTATGCAATTGCATAAATCTTTTAATTCGCACTTTTCCACCGACTTACCTTATCGTCATCCGTCTGCTTGTTCGTGCTCACGTCGAACGCAGACAACTTAGTTTCCTCTTCCTCTTCCTCAACCTCCTCCTCCTCCTCCTCCTGTGACTTCAGCATAAACATATCTTCATTTGTTGATATCTTTAATTCCGCTGAGGAGCTGGTCTCGTCATCGCTCTGATTATGTGGCGTAAAGTTCATTTGTTTGTTGTTATTTTTATTAAAATTCGGTGAATTACAAGCCAAGGCCGCATTCTCGTCAACGTCAGTAGCTTGGCTTTGCGTGGCATTATTCGATTGCTTTTGACTGTGTTCGCTGGACGGCGGTGAGGCATCACCCGAACGCATATTCTCGCCAAAGGCGAAATTCAGATGTTGACGTATGGCTTTTGGCGACGTTAAACCGCTCAACCCGTTGTGGCTACCGGTCGTCTGCATGCGCATATCCATATTGGCCTTCGGAAACAGGAACGGAAAGTTGGCCGCCTGCGCCGGATTTGGTGGAAATATACTTGGAAAACTGTAAGGAAAGTTCGAGAAGAACGGCTGCGACGGAAATAACAGGAAAGGATGTGTGCCGGGAGGCATACCGGTACCAGGTATACCAGTGCCTGTGCCTTTGCCATTGCCCGCGGCAGCAGCTACGGCAGCGTTCATCGATTGTAGTGCAGCGACGTGTGACTGCATGGCTTGTTGTTGGTGCGTTGGCAAATGTGGTGGCAGAGTGACACCAGTTGCGGCTCCGGTTGCGACGGAAACGGCCTGCGTGGGCAGCGGTACGCTCGTTGAGTCACAGAAACGTTTGTGTTTGGTTAAAGATGTGCCCGTGCTGAAGCTTTGGCCGCACTTAGGACATCTGATTTGCATGCGACAATCGGCGTGCATGCGCTTGTGACGGCATAAATTCGAAAATTGCGTATACGCCTTGTAACACACCTCACACTGGAATGGCTTCACCGACGAGTGGATGTGCGTATGCTGTTTGAGGCCAGACGATGTGGCAAATGTTTTTCCGCACTCCGGACACGCGTGACTTCTGGCACCGATGTGGTTGGCACGAATATGCCGCTGTAAATTCGATGGATCACAAAATACCTGTGCCAAAAAATAAACGAAACGAAAATGAAAATGAAAAATGAGACGGGAGTATACGAAGAAGTACAGCTACAATCAAGATTAATCGTGTATAAAATACAATAAGCATACACACGCACACATACGCACATACACTTCAAATACTTGCGGAGGTAGAGCAAGTTTGGTTGGGAAAGAAAAAGAGATCAAAATTACAAAATGAGCAAAGCTTAGCGTCAAATCGAAATACAACAGCCATATGACGACCTTAAATATACCGTAACAGAGAACGGACACAGCATCAGCGCTGGGCGAGACAATGCGAAACCAACGGCGTAGCCGCAAAGCGGCGTCGGCAGTGATGGCGGCAGTACGAGTTCAGCCGATTCGAAGTGCGGCAAGTGAGGTAAGTCAAAAGCGACGGCAAAGAAGCAACACGATGAACCGTATGAGTGAGTCAAAGACGCTGAATATGTGGTAAGATGATTAGATTGTACGTCGCATGGAGCAATCTGCGGTGGGTGCGGCCGGGTAATGTGAAATGAAGTTACGCACAACCAAACACACAGCCAAAATCGAGCGAGAGTCCAACACAAAGCGAGCTAAATGAGTTTTATGTAGTTTTATTTATTTATTATTATTATTATTTTTTTTTTTTTCAGTGAAGGTAACGCCAGCATGCGAAGCGGTGGCAACAACATGGCCATAAACGGCCACAAATCGCTACCGTTTTGAGCTGAAAACACAACTACAACGACAGCGCAGCTTTTAACACCTAATAATGTCTAACAGTGTACCAATATGTGTGTGTTCATTGATGGCGGAGCTCATTAGAAAAAATTGTAATGAAATTAATCAATCAAATCAAACAGCTTCGGAGAGCAAGAACATGTACCCCCGCACCTCGAACCTCGCGCGCCGAACATCGAAACAACGCAGTGACAAGACGATGGCGGTATAGCGTCTATTCGAGGTAAATAAAGCCAATATTCGTCTAAACGGATCTGCGTCATATGCAAATGCGCGAGAACAACAGCAACACCAAGAGGAAACAAAACAAAAACAGTTAAGCAGCAAGATTACTTAAAAGGAATGCAAGAAATAAACAGAAAAAAGTTGGCAGTTGGAAATAAATATTTATTACACCAAATTCGAGCAACCCAATGCACTAACTCACAAACGAGCTGCCAATTGCCAAGACGAGGGCAACGTAGTCCAACAGGACGGTACAGCGCCGCGCCGTACCGCACCGCAACACCTCCGCCTACAACAAATTTTACTTTCAATTGTTACAATTGTCGCTTAGTCCGTGCCGTTCGTAGTTAAATAGAAAACTGTATCACAAGCTCTTCATGCCAAACCCAAAGCGCGACGAATTCTTTTTTTTTCAACCTCTTACTGCGCCGTGCGCCAGCTTTAAGATCGACCTGAGCGGCGCTCTTGTTGAAGACGACGACGGCTCAGCTAAATGACAAGCAACAACGCGGCCAGGTGTGGATTACGGCAGGCAGGCAATGGTTGCGGGACATAGCCTGCAACAAATAGATGTATTTGCGCGAATTTGTTGTGCTTGCCGCTGGCTGCGCGCCCGCACTGGCAGTTATGACGGCAGTGCCAATGTTGTTTTGTTGTTGTTGCTTTATTTCAGTGATTGAGCGCGGGCGTGAAAGGGATGCTTTGAATGTTGTTATTGCTATAACTGTTGTTGTCGTTGCTGCTGCTGCTGCTGGTGCTGTTTGATGTTGTTGTTGTTGGCGTTGTTGGCGTTGATGCCGTTACGGACACGGGTCCCGCGCACGATTTGCTGCTTTTATGAAACTGTTATGCCTAATCATGCTGTCATAATGGCACCGGCTCACTGGCTGACTAGCTATGTATGTCTCTCTGCCTGTCATTGTCTGTCTGCTCTTATACATTTCTATTGCGCTGCGCTTAGAGTAGTAGATAGTATGGGCGAGTATGTGCCATTGTGCGCATTAGATTCGGTGCTAGCTGGCTGGCTGGCTAGCTGCCTGGCTGTCGGATGATCGAAGTACAGCCGTGAAGCCGTGAAGGCTTTATTGTCTTTCATAGCTCGGCAAACATACATACATACATACGTATATTTCTATAGCAACAAAACAAGAATAGCTCGTGCTATAACAACATCAAATGGATTATTGTCTATAGTCAGATTGAAGCCATTCAAACATTCACTCTGGCACTTTTGGGCTAAAGCTCACTTTGCGCGTCGCGACGGTTATTTATGATTTTCATTACTTGTTTTTTTTTCTAATCTTTTTATTTGAGTTTTCGGCTTTTGCACTCGTCGCTATTTTTGGTTGAATGGTGCAAAGTGATGTGATTGCGTTTACTTCGCATGTCCAATTGCGTTGAGCGAAGCTGAGCTGAGCTGTGCTGAGCTGAGTTATGCACGTCGCTTTGCTTTGCTTAGGTCGCTTGATGTCCAGCGTCCAATCGAGTGCTCACCAAGCGATACCAAAAGTTTATATATCTACATACATACATGTAAATGTGATGGTGTTCAACTGCTCCATAAATTTTCGCAAACTATCTCCACCTGCTTACTAAAGTCATTCATGCGATTTGTTTCGTGTAGTTTTGGGCTTTTGCAGCATTGAACGCGAAAAGCTGGAATGCCACCTACAATAAAATTATGGAACCCGTAAGTTTATTCCTGATTCACCAGCATTTTCTTGTTCTATTGAGTAACTCTATCGCTTCTATTGGCATTAGTGCTGGCATATTTGAGCAGTCATTTCAATTCCAGGAACTTTGATTGCACCAAATAAAGCGCTTATGCGTTGACGCAAGCTTTTACGCGTTCGCGTTAAAGAAAGCATACAATTAAGCGCTTCAGTTGCGCCCACAAATGCTTGTACTCGGCACTTGAAGTTTGGGATAAGAAAAAGTTTGTTCAAAAATTTCCCTATGCAAGATCAATCATCCAAACAATTGATTACCAAAAGAAAAAAAATCGAAAAAAAAAAAATTATATAAAAAACAATTACACAGTTGTCTACTTACTGCCATCAACCCACAGTACGCGCGACTGCTCCTCTTATCTACTCAACTATGCTCATTTTATGGCACGATCAGTGGCGATCAGTTACGATCTAATGGCTTAAAGTGCACTCTGCACACGACATGGCAACTGCAGACACAATTACCATGGCGTGCCATAGTCACGCGGCAGTCCGTTAGCTCATCACAATGCACCCATTTTGGCCGCGTAACTGTAACTCAGTTATTGTTGTTGTTGTTTTTTTTTTTTTTTTTTAGCTTCAACACTCGATAGCTTGATCGATTACTTATGCATTTCTTACAATTGAACGCTAGAACACAAGGTAATGCAACGGTAAAGTAGCAAAACACAAATCATGTTTTGTTGCATGCCGCCTGACCACAAGCTGCTGCTGCTGCATGTCAAGTACTAAAAGCTTCTTTGAAGATGTTTTATTCGCCCTACACTGAGTACCCGCCAGCCGCTAATGACCCACAATTCGATCTGCGCTTACAAAGAAAACGCCAATACATCGCGCGGGGGTTGAAGTAAGTGAAGGGCTTTTTGTGTAGTTTCGTAAGGCGTGTACGGCTTTATCAGTCGCAGTTAAATAGACCCCAGCAGGAATAATGTTCGACGTTGATTGGACATCGGAATCAGAACAGATGCAGAGGGTACACAGCAGAGCAGAGCCCAAGCATAGTAAAGTAATAATGAAAAGCCTCAGTGATGGGTGCACGGAAGTTTTAGTTGAGCTGAGTTGAGTTATGACTGCTAGTCGTGAGGCTAGTCCCAGGCCCTTTGGTGCGCTGTGATATTACTCATGATAGCTGAAGTTAGTTCAGCTAGGCAAACAAACATTGTTTCTTAAAGAACTTGTGCCATATGATAGTAAGAGCTGAACAGTGACAGTAGTAGAGTTCGACAGACTCTTTCTCCTCTTCGTCTCGGCAACTGAGACAAAAATCACCAAACCGGTAGGTATTATTTTTGTATGAAACCAGGCGTATTTAAGGGGCTCGGACCTGAGAATAAAACTTGTTAGATGAGTAGTTTTGAGAGGGCATTCCAAGAGGTGGTTTGTATCGTGCGGATCTCATTGCATACAGGAGACACTTTGCTTATGTAGGGATCAAGACTGGATATGTAGGAACTAAGAACGCATACTACATATCCAGACCTTAAATGTACCAGTAACGAGCATTGTCGTTTAGAATTTGGGTGTGTTTTCATGTCGCTTCTAGCGCTTTTCGCCAGCCTTTTCCGGAAATCTGCCCTCAAAACTACTGCTACCTAAGGTCCTCTGCAAGGCGTGTATTCTAAAAAAGTCGATATTTTCTTAATAAAACCGTACAAGCCACTCACCTTGAGTAATCACTCTATGGCGAAATCCCTTACAGCGATCAATAAAAGTTCAATTGCCTCAAAATTAATTTAGGAATTTAATTACCATTCAAAAAGCTTAAGTTGCCAACTCAATCCTCTATCCAACTTTATTTATATTGAAAGGATTTTCCAACAGCTTAAGAATAATAATGCCATGATCAGGTTATATCCTGACTGCGGTGTTTGACCGTTTCGAAGTAGCACTAATGACAGTTATAGGTCGGATTGGCACACATACGCTTTTAGCCTTCGATAAAGTGAAATTCCTAAAAATCAAGATCTGGAAACATGAAATTTTCAAACCACAACCAAACCACATCAAGTTTTCGTGTTGAGGTTAGAGAAAAGTGAAATCGAATTTGGTCATTTAATCTTCCTATCGCTTAACCGACCCGATGTTAAATTTCTTATCCGATTTATAACGTGTACGAAATAAAAGATATCGTACTTTTGAAAACTTAATAGAAACTCACTTGAAGGTGTTAATATTTCCTATCGTGAGGTAATTATATTTGAAAAAGTTTCTTTTTTTTTTTGAACCAATGACCTTTTAACTGGTAGCTGGTATTTCAAGATAACTCAAAATACTTTAAGGTAATTTTTAAATTTCTTGAAAATGTCTGTTAATAAACTAAGTGCCCTTTATCTTTAGTCTCGAAGATTACTTTATAACGAAAATAATATTTTCCTCCCTTCTTAAACGTAGGTTGGATTTGAGATATTTCTTCTGTCGTATGAAATCTACAGTATGAAGTTTTTAATGATTACCTAGAGTCGGTTCGAAAGTAATTCTTGTTGTTTTCTTTAAGTAGTCTTCCATGAGATCAGAATAAGAATCTTTATGCTTATAAGAACCGTTTAAGGCTTTTTGAGTTTCCAAGTCTTTTAAATTGTTGAGGGATGCTTGTGGCTTTCTATTTGGCAAAATTTATAGGATTAAATATCATCTGCACTGAAGATTACCTTTAATTTTTGGTACCACCAAAAAAAGAGGCAGTTCTGTTAAATAAAAATAAATTTTCTTGAATGCTTTCATAAGTAAAGTGGTGCTTAATTTACATACATAAATATATTTACAACTAATTTAGATAATTCTAGATAATTACAGATCAATTCCGTAGCTATTACGCCTAAGACCGTTATTATTCGTTATTCGCTATAAGTTTCGATGTTAAAAGAGTCTTAAAATTCGTTGGTTTTTCGGTTACCGGTGTGTTGCCTTACAGATTGTTCCTATTTGGTCGGACGGTTGGGTAACGTAAAGTCTTGCCCTTGACCAAGCGGTCTTTAAGTACTATAGTACGCTGACTGCACTGTATACTCCAGTGGTGAAGATATACAGTGTTCTTGAGTGTAGTTCAGCAGCTGTTATACTTAACATATACCAAGTGCACATTTTCTTACTGGGCGTGTGCTTGGCTATACATATTTTCGATAGCTCACTACCAATTGCAACAAGTTCTCAGTTGCGTTGTATATGATTTACTCCTTTTGACCTTTTTTTGTGTTTTTTGTGAAGTGTGCGGGCGAAGTAACTGCTCTAAATTTCATCATTACCACACTTTAAGTGCTGTGGATGAGTACACGCCCTGATTTTGATTTTTCTCAATTCGTTTTACTTTTGTTGAAGTTTTTTTTTTTTTATTTCATGTTATATTTTTTATATTTTTTTTTTTGTTAAGTAATTTTTTGATATTTAAACAATGCATTAAATTTTTCTATTTCTTCTTTAATTTTTTTAATTTTTTTTATTTTTTTTTTATATCGTTCAAATTGTTGGCTTGTTTTTATGCTCTGGTCGCTTTGATTCCTTGAACATTTTTTTATTGTTTTTATTATTGTTGTTATTGTTGCTATTATTATTTGTATATCTCTGCTATTATAAGCATGTTTCGGTGTCTATATGTAATTGAGCAGCGGTAAGTGGCCGCAGGCTATTGATCTACCAGAAATCAAAAGTATTTTATCAACAGCATCATCAAAACAGCAGCGATGGCGGCGGCGGCGGCGGCAGCAGCGCGCACCGACTGCGTGATCTTGTTCCCTGCGCTATTTATAAACATTTTTCTTGCTTTTTTTCAATATACCATTTTTTTCTACTCCTTATTGTTACTTATTTCATACATTACTTTGTTAAATATCTCATTGTAATAAAATCAATGATTTTGACATTTGTCGTTGCCATGAATTGAAATGGCCAGCCACCCGATTCCTCCACTCTAATCTACTCTATGTACGTTAAACAACACTAACGATCATTCAAATCAATCGAATGTTTTTGTTGTACACTTTTGGCTGAACTCTTTCATTTTGGCGCTGCTTGATCAATCTTCACACTTGAAGCATTAAGCACCGTGACATTCCATTAATTTTTTTATCATATTCATTATATTATTATTTGCTTTCTTGTCTTCTTTCTTCCCCGCACTCTTTGCTGATGAAAAATTAACACACGCAACATAATCTGGGTTTTGTTGAAACCATACAAGCACACATGCCTACAGGTATATATGTAGGTATGTGTATGTACGGGTATATGGCTTATGGCAAAGTCGCTTTTTGTATCATAGCTGCGAGGCGCAAGATTGTCACAAAGAAGATAAATGGACTAGGCGGAGTCTCTTCAAAGTCAACAACAAGCAAACGCACATACATACATATAGTACGAACATACTGCTGCAGCGCGTTGTGGGGTGCGGTATCCCAACCAACACTGGACGAAAGACAATCTATTTTGACTCAAAAAAAAAAAAAAAAACGCAAAACACGTCTTAGCTGACAGCCACAAACCACTAGCCGCAAACCGCTAGCCACTCGTGCTTCATTTTCTAGAAATCTGCTTGCGCTTGTGGCTATTTCGCAGATTGACTAATGTGTATACAAATGATCAACTACTGTGGGCTACTGTGCAGCGCGTGGTGCATATGTTATGTGTGCCGAAGGACACTCACTCGCACGTGGTATGCGCATTTGAATAGATAAGATTTTAAGTAGACGCGTGATCGAGATTTGCGATAAGAGAAATATTTATACAAACGTCTCTGCACACACACCAAACTCCGTAATAAAATGAAAGGAACAATTTACTTTCCCAGGCGCCCCGGAGTAAATAAAAGAGGAGCCACGAAAGAACTTCCTTTCTAATATATATTTCTTTGCCAAATAGAGGGCTTAGCCAACAAGTGCTACTTTGGACTGAGTAGGCAATTGAAAAGGAAAGTCTTCTCTCGATTTAAACTTCACAAGTCCCTCATCATTATATAAATAATTTAATAGGCGCTCTGTAACCGCTGAAGCGATTTTCGGCCGAGCTCCTCTTCTAATTTTCAACAACCTCCAAGCGGCTGATGGTTTTTTATGGAGAGCCTTTACTTCATGTTATAAATATACTTGATATTTCCTGCTGAGAGACGAACGCAATTAGAAAAATCTATTTTCTATAATTTTTAATGTTGGTCGGACGAAGACTTGAACCCTGGCCTTCCGAATGGCTGTACGCAATGCTAATTACTTGGCTAACGCGGCCGCGAATATCCTACTAAAAGATGCTGAATCATGAACGTACTCGCCGGTGGAAGCAGTTGAACAGGAAGGAACAGGAGCTCCACTCCGTTAGAAGCATTAGGTGGAGAGCGACCTGGTTTTTTTTGGCATTTCCAATTGATACAAAACAGCGAAAACAAGATCCGAATGGCGCGCCACTGTTGTTTCGGCTATAATCGGGTAAGCAGTGCCTACGCCAATAAAGAAGAGGAAGCATAACGTAGCGTCTTTTGTGGAATATAAGATATCTAATAAATACTGTTAAATAATATTCAAATTGGTAAAATGGAGCCATTTGGACTGCTCTTGACTTGAGTAAAGGAATAGTTTTAAGGTTGGAAAAATCTGTTTTTTTTTTCATTTGCGATGGGAATCATGTTGAAGTACTTCTTCTTCTTCAAGACTTGCACAACTATAACCAAGTCGGGATATCATGTAAAGCCAGTTCCATCGCCAGCTTGAATACTTTTCGGCATCCGCCATTGTCTCTTAGTTCGCTGCACCATATCAATTTTGCGGTCGATCGTGTGAACCAACGTGGTAGTCTTTAATACGTTAAGATCTAATAAAATATCCTCAAAAAAATAACGAGTATGATAAATGAATTACTTAGATTCTATGTTGGACTTTAGAGTCAAGTTTATTGTTTGGTACCACTAGTTTTGGAGGGATTATTCTCCATTCTGGCAGAAAATTCGTGCTGTTTGAGCTCATGATAGCAGAGATATACTCAGGTTTAGACATAACGGTTTTGAGGTGGCGTTTACCTATTGCTGAGGAACGTAAGTAAGTTTAAAAGTAAGGTTTGTAGCTTGACAGAACTCCAGATTAAAGCTTGAGAACCTTCAGCTGACAAACGAATCAGAGGCTCAGCAAATCTAAAGGTCATCCAACGAATGAGTTCATTTTGACTTCTGCGATCTCAAGAAAATTATATGGGCTGAGGCTTCTAAAAACAAGTATTCACATTTTTTATTTAAGTAATGAAATAATTTTTACGCACACGTAATAACTAAATTGATTTGAAATATTTTTATTTAATCTTTATTAAAAAAAAAATCTCGTGACTTACCTTTGGACAATTCTCGCAGGGATACTTTCGTATTTCGTTGTGTGCTAAGGCGCGATGCTTCAGCAGCAAAGGACGATGACAAAATGGTTTACTACACAACTCACAAGCAAAGTCGTCTTTTCGAAATGAATGTTTCGCGACCAAATGATGATCCAAACTGTAAAGTAGAAAGAGAATATGAAAGATTTGATGAGTAAAGTTGCTTATGGCAACAACAAAGTTTCAATATTAGTATTTGGCACACAGTTGAATATTTTAAAAATAATTAAAGACAGAAATTCAAACCAAAAATTCAATATTCTAACCAAAACTAGCCGAAGAGAACTAAATGCTCGCTGCTCAAAACATAAATCTGCCAGCAAGGATATTTACCCTCACACGGCACTAAATCCCAACTCAAATTTCACTTAGAAAATTTAGTGGTGACTGGCGACGTAGGAGGAAACCCTTGTTTTTAGTTCACATACCGGAGTATTTTCTCGCTACCTAATCAGATTTAAGAAGCATGACATGTTTGCTATCTCCTGAGATCAGAGTGCGCACGCTGAAAGCCGATAGGAGAAATAATCTTTGAAAATCGATGCGCTGATACCATAGTGAGGAAGCCGAGCAAGGCCGAGTGTAATGCTGACCCTTGTGGGAAAACGAGTGTGTTAACTGTTTCCAAATTTCAGTTGCGCTGACGCTAGACCACATTCAAGCAAAATTTGTCAATCAATGTCTGTTAATTCCTTCAAGCCCGTGAACCTATGTGATCCGAGAATTTTCTTTCTCAGCCACACAAATGTTGGACAGTTGATGAGAAGACTCATACTCCTGATAACTGCTGCAGTGCGGATTTGAAAAAATTCCAAGCTTCATCACGCAAATTCCCAACAAGCAATGTCCGGTCTGAGATCAAAGCGGGGGTGGTGCGGTAGATTTGATCTAGGTATGGAGAGGCAAGCTTCACAGATGTTTCACGGTCTTTCTTGTGTGAGTAGCATCTCGCAACCGAGCACCTTGAGGTGATAGCCTAGCGTTCGGTAAGTTGGTTGACAGCGGCGTGCCCATTTGCGTATTCTCCGGCAACACAAAGTGTTGGAGCCCATAAGTACAAGTTCCGGTACATTATATGTGTTTAATTCCGAAAAAACTTAGCCACAGACATTTGTTGCCCTCTAAATGTGTGAGCTCATGTGAGTCTATGGCCATAATAGCCATCTCAGTAAATGCCTCGCAGCAACCACCTTCCCAAGCAGTAAGTTCGCTTCACAACAACAAACTCGGCAGTAGTCTGAAAGCCTGAACTCCCCACGGATGCATAATTCTTGACGGAAGACATCCAGCTTCTACGTCAAACATTACTTTACTCTTTGTGTCATCACAATGTGCGTGTCTTAAGACTTTGCGCGCGATACTTTTGGGATCAGCCTCTTCCAGCGAATCTAACCTGGTGCTCTCTACTATTTGGCTACTGCAAAGCTACCAAGATCCATGAGAAAAATGTATTTACAACGTTACTATTCCATCCACTTCCACCACTACCCCCACTACCACCACTACCACTATCCACCTTCACTCACATTCCCACAATCGTCACCGTCTAAATATTTGTCCACTCGTTGCTGCGCCTGTCAACAATTAGCCAAATGATGTTCAATATTTAATGTACGATAAGATCGCTCCACTTCAATACAGCGCGCAATCCTGTCCGAAATCGCTTTGTGAACGCAGCTGTTGGAAACCATGCAAACACACAATACAAAATAGGATTTGTGTCCTTGATGTGCACAGACCCCACAACGCCCACGCCACAAGCACTTTAACACACCGGTTATAGTCGTCATACTCGAAATATATAAAAATCCACATTTTGAAGAATGAAGATGTTTATCGCACACAAGGGCAGGTCATCGAGTTGAGTGTATGAAGTTGTTGAGTTGGGGGGAGGCAGTTCGCTGGCTGGCTTTTCGAGTTGGATTGAGTGCAGGCGCGTAATGAGGTAGCGCATGTCAAACGGCTAATACTACAGGAGGATATGTGTGTATCAGCGTTTGTGTATATGTGTGTGTGAGTGTGTGGTTAAAGGCGTTATTGTTTGTATTTATTTGTATATCTTGTACTATTTGCATGTACATCAAAATGAATGAGTGCACGACAAATATCAGATAGCGCGGGCTGGTCAGCAGAAAGGATGACGAGAACGCTGCGATAACCAAACAAATATTAGACAGACAGACATACGAGTATGTATATGCATATGTATGCATGTAGATATGCTGGGGAAAGCGAATGAAGTGAATTGATTATCTGCGTGGGTGGACAATGTGTCCTTACAATAGTATTTGTATTTTTACTTGTATTTGTATTTGTATTTGTATCCACGTTTGTATTACTGACCTCTTTGGGGATGTAACGTTCATGTAAAATTCAGCGAATCAACTGATGGCGCAAACTTTGCGTAGAAATCTGTTTTGTTTGGTATAATTTTGCTACAACAAGTAGTAGTAGTAGTGGTAGAAAGCACTTCACTTCACCAGATGTACGCCCCTTGTGGCGCCTTAGTTGCATAAACATGTATACACATATATGTATATATAGACATTGTTGTATAGTTCGTGGCATGGCGTGGCAAGTTATCTGTTGCGTGCCGTCGCTTTTACTCATTTAATAATGACAGAAAATCAAAAATATGCATTAAGCGTCCAACACGAAGGGCAGACGCCCCCAATCGACATCCTCACATTCATTGTTCATATGCATATTTCGATTATTCACATATGTACATACATACATATATATAAAAATTTTTGATTTAGATATTTGATGAGTGCTGATGGTGATGTTTGCTGGTGGCACAGTGTCCACCCACCACCTGTGATCGCATGACTGCACCACTTACAAATGTATGCATGCTCACAGTCCTTCATTCACCACGGAATCTACGTTTTCATTGCGCAAACAAATCAGCGTTTCCATTGTTATTTGTGACACTGCGGCTCACCGCACTTACATATATATATTCCCTGACATATGTACACTCATGTTTACATATAAATGTATCAACACTTCAACAATTGACTTTAACTGTCGAGCAAATAAGCCAGACTATGCTCGCATGAAAGGACCTCTCAATTGGAAGACACTCTGGGGTGTCTTCAAACAAACGTCAAACAGTTTATCACTTTCTCGTACAAATATTTGCACTTCAATTTATTCTACAATTCACGAGTTGTTCACCGTTTTGTTTTCTGATCGTTTTTATTCTCCATAATTGGAAAGAATTTATTGTCGGCAAATAAAGTGATTAGTCGTGCTAATGCGTGGTATTAGATTTCATTTTTTTGTCTAATTTTTTCAATATTCCAAATTTATTTTATGAGCTTAAAAGGTGTGTCATAATCAAATTGAATTGTTTGTTTTTAGTCAAGAACTGCGAAAAGTCTTGAGTTTCAAAGTCTTGGCAATCCAACAACTAAACCTCGGCAGAGAAAATCAACCCCACCGAGTATGTTTGTGGTATAAAATAAAAATCACCTTATTAAAAATCATCAGCCCTTCGGTGAGACACATTAGAAGGAGCTGCGTCCGATATGCCTGATGTGAGTACCTGCCGACGTCGGCCTCACGATGCCTCACGTTGCCCAAAAGCAGAACGGATGAAATCAATGCGTTTATCAGTGTCGCATAATGCAGACATTATGGCACCAATTTGTTGTGTGTGGAGTGGACACCTTGATAGGGTTCAAGGCCCGGAAGTATGCTGCAGTCAATGGCGACAGCTTCGACAGCGACACCACTCGTGGGAGTCTGTTTGTTGCCACACTTAGACTTTTTTTTGGCTTACACATTTAATTGCCTCAACTGCCACTTGACTCTGATCCTGTTAAAGTGATTAAAGACAGAGTTAAAGCTAAGTTGGTTGTTGGGACGTTCTTGTCACGCATAGATACGGATATCTTCAGATTTGCCGCTGAAATTGCTCTCCGTATATTCTTCCCTGTTAGGGAACGAGTAAGTGGTTATCATCTGGCAGAAGTCTTGCATTTTACAGCCCCAACATAGATTGAGTCTGAGTCCTTTTATAGCCAGCCGTATGGTGTAATCTCCTTCAGAGTTGGGGATCCGGAACTAACTAAATATCTAGTGCGTACTCTAACTGACCTGAAGTCAAGGATGTTTTCAAGGGCATTTGTTGATGTAATTCCCACAGCGTCTGCTATGTCTTTTAAATAAGTGCGTTGCATACATTTTGAAGTTTGAAAACGGCATTTCTTCTTGAGTGCTGGTCACCATACTAGTGATCTATAGGCTCTTATGGGTCTTAACAACACTTGATTAAAGAAAAACAAATGCATCACTTCTGGTGAATCGTCGAGCCACAATTCCATCGGTTTTAACCCCTTCATTTGCCACGTCACTCTAATGTTTTTCTGGCGGAACTGATCATATTCTTCCGGGTAGCCGCATTACCAGCTGTAAAATCTTTATAAATCAAATTGGGTGCAGAAGAGTTTCTGTAGACCATTCAACGTGCAAGCTTAGCAATTCTCTCTGACCCTATGAAGGCTGTTTGATCACAGTAATATAACGGTTAATGTGGTGGCGGTTTCCCAGACAGGAAGATTTTTGGAATTCCGTTCTCCAGTGGTAAGCTCATTGTAAGAAAGTTACTTTTCACATGCGAGTATGCTAACTTGGAAGGAAAATTCTCAATTTTGGCAATGCGAGTATGAGTGGGGTCCAGACGAACTGAAGAAAGAACGTCACAAAAGTTTAACATTCTCAAAATTAACCATATTTTCGGCAAACCGACCAAGGACTTGTGCAGAAGTTACAGATCGGAGGATGAATCAGAAACCTTTAGCCGCAAACTATAGAGAAATCAGCGAAATAGCTCTAGTTGGCAAACTCAATGCATTGGTTTGAAAAGGTGAGGACCATTAAAATTCTCCATGATATCACAATGACTAGCGGATGTTCTCATTGATATCACAATAGCCACCAAGAACTGATGGCTACCAAACGGACCTTCAATCTAACCTAAGCTAGCTCTGTACCTACGTTCAGTTAAAGCTCGAATCCGGTTGTTATAAGCAAGGAACATCGTACTAAAGACAGTTGCTTTTTTGAAAAACCCACAGATTTTCGGAACGAAGAGCACAGTTGGCTGTATATTTGCTTGCTTCGAAAGATGTGTAAAAAGCACAAGTTATTTGTTGACTGATGTTCTTCTGGATGACAAAAAAAAAACTCAAGAAAATTCCTACCATTAATTATACAAGATGAGGGGCGAGTATTGATTGTGCCAACTCCAACTTTTTGATTTAAATAAATAAAAACATGAAATAATGGAAAGAAAATTTTTAAGTAGTTGTAGCTTTTAAACAATGACGACTCGCTAACTCGTTTCGTAGATCCTTACTCGATTTTTTTTGCCTTTATACGCCAAGTCGATTGTCTACAAAATTGTTCGTATTGTCCAAAATATTGAGCCATCCAAGGACTTCTTAATTAACGCTGATGACACAACATTCGCCGGATATAATTATTGTGCGTTAATTCGATTAATCAATCGATTGAGTGTTAAAGTGCCAAAGTACTCAAGAAGGCAGAGGGAGAATGTAGTAAACAACAACTACTGCACATAATATGACGGAAATAATTGTGTTTTTGTCATTCCACACATTTAGCTGCTAATAAGCAGAAGTGTAGATAATAAATTGAAAAAAGAGTTATTTTAATTACAGCCACAATCACTGTGATTGTGATAATAATTGCGCCCGCCGAATTAATCAAAGGTTCTCCGTCAGTGAATCATAGTAATTGTATGTACGTGTGTCGTAAGTGTGCGTCATTTATTTGTGTTAATTAAGGATGGTTTTCGGAAACACAAAAAATAAAAATTAAATAATACGAAGCATCAGCTCATTGTTTCAATATTGGTGTAGGTTTAATTCATTAGTGTTTTCTGATGTTATCGAAGGGGTTGAGAAGCCTTACGTTAAGTGATTCCGCTCTCGCGACATCTAGCGAGTTTGCTAGTTTACATTTTATGACCAGAATTAAAAGAGTTTTTTTTTTTTAAATTACAAATTATATTTTATCAGACAGATTATTTATAGAAAGCCAGAAAGCTGCATTGAGCTCAGTTCAGAAAGAGAGGTTTCTTTAAAAGTCCTTCTAGGACTCAATGTATATAATGTACGCAATTGTATCAGAGTTGTGCGAATGTTGTTTTTTGTTGTTGTATCCATAAAAATATCCCCAAATTAGTTTTCGTTGAATATTGCGACAGCGACAGTCCTGGAGCGGATAAAATTTTGGTATAAAATCCAACCGTCGCGGGAAATATTGGATTTATATCGCCTCCTCTGACAAGCATGCCCTACCGCGGGTAAGTTCTTGAACTACTAAGCCGTGGGGTCGCACATGATAGTAACTTGGTCGTCGACTAAAGATGAGTGGAGCTTGTACTCCAACTCGGCGGTACGCATTTAAAGGTTCTTTGTGTTTACTGCGCCCAAACGGAGATACGAAAGTCATTCAGGCTACCAACCAGCAGAGAATCTTGCATGCCATAATATTTGCTATAGAATTTACGGCCGAGCCCTCCAGCGGACTACAGTTCCTCTCAGAGAATTGTAGCATCAACAAGAAACACTCTTCCATTGTCAAGCCAATAGATTTTGGGAAATTATGTGTGTATTTTCCAAAAATCAGGCTGCTCTGAAGATTATCAAATTTGGAGGATGTGAAGAGACAATAGGTCAGGTAATATGTATGTATTCAGCGCTCAGCAGACTGAGGCTCCTCCTAACTACTTGACGAGGATAAGCTGTGGGATCTTCAATCAGCAATGTATAAAGCAATTTTCAAAGAGAACAGCGAATGCTCTTCAAACTAGAGCCTTTTCTTAGATCTCTGTGACTAGCGCTTACTGCCTCTCTGAAGAAGATACTATTATTCGCGCAATTTCATCTATTCATCCATAACAGATTCGAAAGACTTTGATTTCCTTAGAATGATTTCTCAACACATAAGCGGGCAGTTATAGAGGGGTATTTATATACTTAAGAAAAAGAAAGTTTCCGGAAACTGTTATTTTTTCGATATTCGCGGCTTGGTTCATCATGAATTCGCTCCAACGGGACAGACGGTCAATAAAGAGTATTATTTTGAGCTTTTTAAGGCGCTTGCGCGAAAACCTCCGTCATAAACAGTCGGAATTGTGGGCCAACAATTTCCGAAAGTTTTCATGACGATAATGCGCCATCCCACCGAGCTATAGCTCTGAACCATTTAAGACCAAAACTCATTCAATACCAACGATCAACCACCGTATTCATCGGATTTGGTACCAAGCGAACATTTTTTCTTGTTTCCATAACTCCAGTTACCACTCCGTGGAACCCATTTCGACTCGATTGAAACCTTGAAAATAATTCGCAGATGGAGCTGCGGTCGTCTGATTTCAACAGCTGCTGCAAGCAACTTGATCGGCAGATCGCGCTCATTTTTGGCATAGTAATTAAGGTCAGTGCTATCAACTTTACAAAAAAAAGTGCAGTTTGAATGAGAATTTCCGGAAACTTTCTGGTCTTATGTGTATGTACATTTACATAATAAACATCCTTTGCACAAATATGTTCAATGAACTATTTTCTCAAAAGTGTCACTCATCAGCCAGTGAAGAGTACACAGAGCTCAAATCCAGGCACTAATTATGGAAAAATACTAATTATAGGAAAAAATACAATTTCTGACATAAGTAACGAAAAAGCGAGGATGACAGTGTGAATTACATTCCAACGTGTGGAAAAACCGAACACATAAAACCTGCTTATTATATATTTTGTATTTTTTTTTGCTCACTCTGGCAATTAAATTGTTAATTACAGTACTTTATAGCACACATGCACTTTGCTGTATTAATATTTTTCTCCTTTGCACATATAATATACAAATATTTCAATAAAAATAATTAGTTAATTTAACAAGAGCTTTAGAACGTTCTCCCTTTAGCCTTTCATAAGATGCTTTGGCAAGCAATTTTTCCAACCAAAATAAATAAATTATTATACTAATATAAATTTATTTATAAATAGTTTTCTACAGCCTTTTACGAGTATAAACAGATATTCTACTTACACTTCTAAATCCTGAAATGTTTTATCACAAACTTCACAACGTATATCAAAACCGTTTTCGTCGTCGGTCAATTCAATGCCATCCGTTTGCTCGCTAAACGAACGATCTCGCTTGTATTCGTCGTCGCCGTTGGTATTGCCGCCACTGTAGAGAGATCCTGTAAATATAAGAAAAATATTATATTACTACGATGTTAATAAAAATGTGTAAAATGTAAAATGAAAATTTGTAAAGTAATAAAATTTTTAAGTAAAAAAAAAGACAAACATTTTTATTATTGAACTTTTTGTGGGAATTAAAAAATTAAATAAAAATTAATATGAATATAAAAATAAAAAGCATTTTGAAAAATTTTAAATTATATTTAAAAACTAAAAAATAATAAAAGTAAATAAGTAAATAAGTAAATATAGTAAATGAAATGAATTAAAAAAAGTTTATAAACATTAGTACTAACATATAGTAAAGATATTTATTTTTGAAGAAATTTAAAATATTATTTTTTTTTATTAGTAAAGAAATTTATTTTGGTAAAAATAAAATTTTTTGTGGTAGTTAAAAAAAAAATATTTAATTTTAGTAATAAAATATTGTAAAGAAAGATATTTTGGCAAAAAAAGTGGTTCTTGTGAATTAAAAACTTATATTATTTGGTAGTAAAATATAATAAAGAAAGATACTTTTAAAATTAAATATTTTAGTAAATTTAAAATAACTAATATGAAGTAAATAGCAAAATGAAGAAAAGAAAAATTAAAAAAGTATCTTTAGTGATTTTAAAAAACGAGTAAACTTGTTTGTTGTAAAATAAAGAAAAAATTTTTTGAGTATCCATTTTCCCAAAGAATTAAAAAAATTAATAAAATTTGGTTCCAATATCTAATCATTAGAAATATCATATTTGTGAAAGATTTTAAATTCCTTTTGCAAATTGAAATATTACAAAAGCAAAAAAATAAAAACTATTAGTAAATTAAAAAAAAATTAAAATTAATATATATTTTTTTTACCAATTAAAAATATTAATATAACTTAATAATATGATTTGGTTTAAGGAAATTTTTTTGTGAGTAAAAGATTTAAAAATTTTAGTACTAATGTTGAGTAGTTAGTAGTATTTATATGTGGCATATATAAAAAAATTTATATATTTCAGTGAATAAAACAAAAAAAATTTAAATTAATGTAAAAAATATTTATAAATTTTTTTAATTATATTACAGAAAAATATCTTGAAACCTTAAATTATTTTTTTTTTGCAAATTAAAAAATAATAAAATCTAATAAGTAGTCAAATATCGTATTAAAGAACATTTAAAAAGATAACTGAAAACGAGTTTCAGTAAATTAAAGAAGTAATAAAAACTAGTTAATATAATCTGAAAATAATTTTCAAGTCATAAAATTTAATAATCGAATAAAAAAGGATTTTGAAATTTTAAATTTTTTTAATAAATTGAAACATTAATAAAATAAGTAGTAAATATAGCTTAAAAATTAAAAGTATATTTTTTATTCCACTAACTATCTGCTCAAATTGTTGGGAGTAAAATATAGCAAACAAAAAGTTTTGAAAAAAAATTTTTTTTTTTAAAGAAATAAATTTTAATAGTAGAAAATAATGTACTAAAATATTTTGCGAATAATAAAAATATTTCTTAATCAAAACAATAAAAAATTAGATATTAAAAAATAATATTTTTTTGTGCCACTTTACACACAAATATAAAAATATATACCTACAAATGCGCCTTTATTAAACAACTCGAAAGTGTAACAATCATTAAAAACCAAAAAAAAAATATATATATTTATACATATATATCAATATCAAAAAAATCGATCGACACATATTTTTCAAGTACACAAAGCTCATTATATTCATTCATGCACTGGCAGGCATATTGTCTTGTGAGCCCAGTAGCATGAGCAGCGCTTGCTGTAAATGATTTATGAGCGCAACTGCAGCAGCAACAGCAAGACAATGCAACCAAGTGCCCGCGCTCTACTCCTACCCTTACACCTGTCTCCCTTCGCCACACCACCGCTGGCATTTACTAAGTTTACTGCTTGTGCTTTGGCTGCGAGGCATCTTTTGTGTTAGACAGTAACAACAAGAAGCTACACCAGTTGCAATTGTGGCATAATTTGGTGGCGGTGATGGCAGTGGCAGTGTCTTACATGCCAAACTGCCTGCTTAGCCGTTTGCGGCTGCCTACCTGCTCGCGGATGGCGTTACCACTGGTGGCGCGCAAGCATAACCGCAGGAAATTACCAGTTGCTGCTGTAATTTTGGGCTCATCAAAGGTCAATTGACCAGCATGGAGGACGCCCACTGTCTATTTGCGGTGTAGTGGTGTGAATAAGAATGAATGAAAAAAATGTTTAAAAAAATCGTGCATCAAGCGCTTGGCTACCACTCGGCCACTACTCGGCAGGCAACAACAATCAACAACCGACTTTTGGGGTACTTGCCATCAAATCTAACACTTTATCATATAACAATGATGTGGGTGAGATCGCAGCGGACTGTTTGGACTGTACCACTTCTGGCACTCTTGGTAGCCTTAGGAATTGGCGCTAGGGTAGCATGTTGCGGCTGCTACAATGGCTATGCTACTTTTAATGAAAATGCCGCAGATAAAATCAACTGACCCAACTGTTGTAGTGGGTATCATTATTTTACAGTTATTGTTTTTGTTCTTGTTGTTGCTATTATTCTGTTATTATTGTCTTTTTGTTTCGAATAATAAGATGATTTTTAATTTAAAAGTGGCAGCCATGAGTTGCAGCGTGGGCAATGGTATTGGCTTGATATCACTATTATTTGCTTAGTTTGGCATAATACTATACACTGGGCGGCAAGCTGTAGTCCGCCGTATCTGGCTATGAAAATAAGAGCGAGTTGTATAGATACATACGTAGAGCACTCAAGGCCAAGGTGGAAGTTTTTGTAACTGGTTGAGCCAAAATTCTGTACAAGAGCCGTTAAAGAAGAATAATACCACAAAAATTATCTGTCTAAAGACTGTAAAACTTAACCTGTCTCTCAAGGTCGTTAAAATCAAATGAGTCATCATACATGGTATCCTGTAATCAAATAAATAGTCAGTGCACTTGCGTCTCGGCTCCCACACCACTGTTGATCCTGACAACTTTAAAGTCAGACGATTTCGTCTCTCTGAAAACCAGCAACAACAATGGAAATTTAAAGCGGAATTAAACTTGACAACAGATGCCATTTTGGGCTTGGACTGAGTACTCTATCGATAAACAAAGACCGATCCCTACAAGTCACTAATCGACTTACTGTGCTAGCAGAGTGCTAGTTTTCGGCAGAAAGTTTTTTTTTCGCACGTCGACGATGAACACCACAATCGATGAAACGTTGAGCTATATAATATATTGTATATGATGGCAAGCTAGCTCAGCAAGTTGATCACTTTACCTAGGTAGTAATGTCATTCGTGTGGGTGACAACATTGTAATTTTAAAATCCGTTGTAAAAATCTGGCGAATAAAGACCTTTCTTCACTTGGTGTCTTCAAATGACGCTGAACGCGAATTGAACAAATAACTAGCGCACTCTTGTTTTCCCGGTTCTAATCACATAACTCCTGCCTACGCCAATTCTTATGCCATCTTATCTAACACCTCTCTCCCTCTAGTACAAACCAGTCAAATTAGCAGGTTTTCTGGGACCTCGATGATATGTTTTAAACAAGTCGTACGAAACTATTCGTTATTCTCGAGGCATTTTCTTGCAAAAATCCATTTTCTATCATTTCATTTCTATGTATTGTATTTTTTAAATTTTATTTTATTTCATTTTATTTTATTTTATTGTCTTTAATTTTATTTTACTTTACTTTATTTTATTTTATTTTATTTTATTTTATTTTATTTTATTTTATTTTATTTTATTTTATTTTATTTTATTTTATTTTATTTTATTTTATTTTATTTTATTTTATTTTATTTAATGTTATTTAATTTTATTTTATTTCATTTATTTAGACAGTTCAAACACATATCAAATAATTATAATACAAATAAGCTTCTTTAAATTAAATTTAACTACTTCCAGAACCTACTGAAATTGATGTTCGTGTTTTCATAGTAAAATAACAAAATAATACAGTCGGCAAATTTAGTAATTATGAACCGACAACAAAGGTGACTACTTACTAAAAAGAACTCTATTTACACTTTGCTAAAAAAAGAAATCCAAATTTTAGCGAATTTTTTCGTTTTTTATAAACACAATTCTGTTCAATGTTTTCAATATTTTCACTTTTTCACAACTCGCTGTTTTTTGAAGATTTTCAGAATGAATACAACCGCTCACTAGACGCTTTGAAGAACAAGTGTGCCATTTAAAGCCAAACATTTGACTCTTTAGCCCACAAAATGCGCTGACGTACCGGAAGGACTCACACAGGACTCGCGCTCAATGACGAAAGTGAACGCGAACAATTGTAGACAAAGTTAATACATGCACAGGTATACATACATATGTGTATGTAGTATGTAAATGATGAATCGTGTGCACTCATATGGCACACAATGAAAACAACAGCAACAACAATTACACCCATACCAGCGATAATAATAGTTAGTAGTTCATTTAAGTCAAAAAAAGTGAATAGATAATTGGCCCGAATAAACAACCCCTGCAACAGCAACAACAACGCGCCACCGCATACATATTCATAGTATAAATTCACTGGTATGTATGTATGTGAATAGACAAGTGTGCTGACACTTGACCGCTGATCAGAATAACAACAAGAACAGTATACAAACTTCACTACAATAATATAGAATATATGAAACGTTAAAGTTGACCAAAACTATGCACACACACACATGCTTACATTGTTGTTCATATGCATATCCATCTGTATCATGTATATTGAAACTCATTTGGTTTGGCGAGCACGCAAAACAATTGCCATGCACACAGGTCGATTGCGCGAGCGCTGCTCTACTTGATCCCAAAGGGACCTGCTGGCTATCTGAAACATCTAAAATTGTTGTTAAAGCGTATGCAATTCAATCAAATGACTGCCGAGCGTTGGGCAGACTCACAGGTTGACCAAGGGAGCTGAGCAAGTCAGTACACGTACGAACAGATATTCAGTTCAGGTGACTCGG